AAGTACTCTGATATTTCTAATGAATGAACGATAAATCTTTTGAGTGATGGATAACGTCAAGTTGTTATGGATCGACCACTTCAGCTTTGAGCCGAGCAGCGAGTGCCTTGCGCACTTGAATAATCGATGGATCGGATGCTGTAGAATGCTCAAGGTTCGATTCTCCTTTCATTGTGGCCTCTGCAATACTTCTCGCTGTACTTGGCCGTTTCTTAACTGTTTCCAAGTACTGACAACGTGCCTGTTTCTTCAACGCCACCAATTGGTCTCTCCTCTCCTTGAGATACTCCTCCCTTTTTCTCATTTCCTCGTGATTCTCCGGTTCAATCTGCATTGTGAAATATCATTTAGATATATCGATCCATTATATTATCACTCGAGGATTATTATTTTTTCCTAATCCATATCATCCTAAATAATCAATTGTCTGTCTTTCAATATGATTTTTTCAAGGCACCTTAAACCGTTTATTGTTTAAATAACTATTAAAATATCCAATAAAAATTATTCAGAAAAATAGATAAATCTGATAAATATAATTAATATTCAAGATGAAGTTCAATAGAAGAGAAAAAAGGAATAGAAGGATTTACGAACGTTTTTCTAACAAATTATATTATTTTATATTATCTCATAACTCACCAAGTTTCATGAGCGTGCAATAATTTTCCTGTCTTTCTTTCTAAAGCTTTATGAATTTTTGAAAAGTTCAGAAAAAACGCAGGAAAATTATTGCATGATCATGACATTTAGGTAGTTATTACATAATGATAAAATGGAAAAACTGAATATTTTTTTGCGTCGACCTGACCAACAATTTGGCAGCCTAAAGAACCGGTAATTTTTGTTAAAAGAGGACAGAAAATCGTTAATATAAAAAGAGTATAGACAGTTCTTTGACAATTACCAGTTGACCTTAAACCCACTAGGTTGCCAGGTCTTGGTAAAATATTAATAATGAATTTCAATCAGAGAAAAGTTGAAAATATATTACAGGAGTTTTTTCCACGATTTGTTGCGCAGCTTCCCCGTGGCCGTAGTCACATAAATTGGAGATTGAAGGTAAGGGTGAAGGTCTCTTTAATAATTCTGGTATTAAATCATCGTCCCAGGGGTCCCCTGTAGCTTGACAGTCCTCTGGACCTTCTCTCACATCAGAAAAGGAATGTAATGAATTCGTAGAGATATCTAGGGCTTCCTTCAATGCAGCCTTCTCACTCTCGTATTTTGTGGCCAATCTCTGGTGCTCCTTTTTGAGGTCTTCCTCCGTTTCTTCCGTTGGGTCTTCCTCCTGTGATTGCTTGCTGGACAAATATAGAAATTGTTAATAGATACAGGAGGTAAGTGACACCAGATAAATCAATTCCTAGTAATTCTTCTCGTTTTTCTCTTTCAACGACCAAATTATATAACGTATTTTCTGAGGTGAAGGAATGGTTTTCCTCTTAAAGTAAAATCATGCCATTTCAATTTTATGCAATTTTTTAAAAATATAAATGATATGCTTTTTTGAATGTATGTATATTAAATTATGTATTATATAAGTACATGTGTATATTTGATGAATACATAAATCAATGAATATATTGGCGAAATAGATTAGCGACATTTTTTCTTACGATATTTTTCTG